ATATATATATATATATATATATATATATATAGAGAGAGAGAGAGAGAGAGAGAGAGAGAGAGAGGTCTTACGTGAGACTAATCGCAACCATTTATAATAAAACCATGTTTATCACTCAACTACTCGGTGGTAAGAGACAAGAAGTTTAGAAAGAGAAGCGTTCAAGGTTGTTGCATTTTNGAGAGAGAGGTCTTACGTGAGACTAATCGCAACCATTTATAATAAAACCATGTTTAACACTCAACTACTCGGTGGTAAGAGGCAAGAAGTTTAGAAAGAGAAGCGTTCAAGGTTGTTGCATTTTTCTTGAATTTTGGAAGCTTCTTCAAGGCTTCAATATAATCAGGTGGTATTTTGTCTGATACTTCAATAGATAGCTCATCATGTGAAACTTGTCTCTGCACGCTATAGAGCCCAGCTCTGCAAGTACATGCCCGATTGCATCATTTGGTGGTGGAGGCAATGGTGGATTGCTGGAATAGAGCCTTAGGCAGCGATCCATGAATGATTCATGGTCTCTGTCTTCCTCTTTTTCCTTCTTCTCCAGGATCAACATGGAGTATAGAAGTATAGTTGTGATGACCATGAAAATGAATATAAACAAAAGAGTTTTGGTTCGAGTGAAGGCGGCCTCCGTAGCTGGAAGATACAACAAATGGAGTCATATAATTTGGTTATAAGTGGCAAGATTGTAGAGTGATATAGCTTCAAAATGCTGTAAGTGTAGCAATAAATTGTAAGCAAAATCAGGTTACTCAGATTCCCATTCCGATTGGGGCCCTCCTGGTGGTATTCAATTCAATATTGAACTGAATAATAGAATTTGATTATGACTAGGTAACTAAAATCTAAAACAACTTTTATATTTCTAAATGGGAAACAAACTGGGCCTTTTTTTATATATATCAGTCGATCATTATTACTGTCTAGAATCAACTAGTACAATTTCAAACCCCTAACAAATAGACAATAAATCAAGTCTTGCCTAATTGATCCCTTGACGTCTTTGACGAGAATTGATCTACTAGGGATGGTAGTAATATGCCCACTTAAATTTGGGTGGGCTTAAGTGATGTAATCCCACTAATATTCACTACCCGGCCAAATGTGGCGTATTAGATTACATAATATATACCTAAGCAGAGAAAAATAAAGATAGAGGTAGGACTTGGAGTGACGACAAATGCTAATCCTCCCAAACAAAACATTACCAATCTATCTATCATCTATTACCATCAAATTAACGCGGACAATTATCTACCATCANCAGAGAAAAATAAAGATAGAGGTAGGACTTGGAGTGACGACAAATGCTAATCCTCCTAAACAAAACATTACCAATCTATCTATCATCTATTACCATCAAATTAACGCGGACAATTATCTACCATAANTAGCGAGGAATCTGTGATTCGAAGTAATTTCAGATTTGGTTCGAAATCTCTCTGTGCAATCGGTTCGAAATCTTCAGTCCAGCAGCTTCAACCTGGTTCCGAAGCTTAAATGAGGTGAACTTCTTCTTAATCTAATTTATTTCTTCTATTGTTGGTCCTTTTGGCCACTTTCGTTCGTAGTTCACAGACATGAGCATGCTCTCCCTTGGGGTTTCCTTGATTTTGGGTTTTTTTTAATGATTAGTTTGGGGCTGCTTTGGGATTTTTTTTTATGGTCAAACTCCGAAGCTCTGTTCCGACTCCGGCAATCGGAATCGGAGCGGAGGCATGTTTCTCTCTGATATATTTTGTGATATTACTGAGATCACCTCATTTAGACCCACCCAATTTTAAGTGGACAGGTTATAACTACCATCCCTAATTGATCATTTGGTGTGTATCATAGAATTTCTCAGATTATGCAAAACATCAATCCCAACCAAATTATCCAACGAGATTTAATAGAATTTAGTATGTGGTATTAGAATAACAAGATTGTAGCCTGTGTTCTTTATTGGGCATGTAGTAACTTAACAACAGGTTATACAACTCGATGATAGGGGATCGTCCTCTTAAGGTTTTAAAAATTTCTTACATTACAATTAATGTTAACAGTTATGTATACTCCCAAACTATGTAGGCTCATTTCCAAAATTATTTTAAAAATTTTAAAAATCGCCCTTACGCCAATTCCTAAATCCATACCCACCCACAACACCATATCACTTAGCTACATATATTCAGCCTGAGATTTTAGAATTCTGTTAAACTATTCGTGCCTTTATATATAACAATACAATCAAATGTTTGATTTTCATCAATGCACTAAGCCAGCAACCTAGCTAGTACCATTCAAGGAGCTCATGATTTTAAAATGAGGAGGCTTATTATCATTCTGGGAAATGCAAGTATGCAACACATCAATCCAAGGCAATGCATAATAATTGTCCCTCTGAAATGTAGACACGACAAGGGATCCCTACCCAAAATTAGCACAAACCCCCATTAATTGTTTGATTCGATAGGATTTTGACGTGACACGACCTATGAACACCCCTAATAACAATATGCAATAGAGAGATTACTGTTCCATGGGACTATTTGCACACCATGACTATCACTCAACTCTTTGCCTCTTCAGTAGGGTACAAAAAGTTCACAAAGAAAAGCATTCAAGGCCGTCTCGTTGTTTTTGTATTTCAGAACCTTCTTCTTTAGGACTTCAAAAATAATTAGGTGGTATTTTGCCTGCAGATGCCAAAATAGAATAGCCAATCTTGCGAAATTCATCTCTACACATTCTAGAGTACATCAAGGCAATCCCACGTTCATTCTTTGGTGGTGGTGGTGGATGACTCAAGAGGAGCCTAACATAGTGCTCTACTATTGACTCATCGTATCTGTTCTTACAATAAGGAGGCTTTATATAACTGTAGAATTTACAGCAGGAGACTCAAAGAATGTCATAACTTCAATCTCAAATGATCAGGTAATGTGCTTCCAATTTTTCAGTTTCATAGATACGAGTAAAGTCTGTAGGCAACTTATTAGCAAAAAAATCTGGAAGATATATATATATATATATATATATATATATATAGAGAGAGAGAGAGAGAGAGAGAGAGAGAGAGAGGTCTTACGTGAGACTAATCGCAACCATTTATAATAAAACCATGTTTATCACTCAACTACTCGGTGGTAAGAGACAAGAAGTTTAGAAAGAGAAGCGTTCAAGGTTGTTGCATTTTTCTTGAATTTTGGAAGCTTCTTCAAGGCTTCAATATAATCAGGTGGTATTTTGTCTGATACTTCAATAGATAGCTCATCATGTGAAACTTGTCTCTGCACGCTATAGAGCCCAGCTCTGCAAGTACATGCCCGATTGCATCATTTGGTGGTGGAGGCAATGGTGGATTGCTGGAATAGAGCCTTAGGCAGCGATCCATGAATGATTCATGGTCTCTGTCTTCCTCTTTTTCCTTCTTCTCCAGGATCAACATGGAGTATAGAAGTATAGTTGTGATGACCATGAAAATGAATATAAACAAAAGAGTTTTGGTTCGAGTGAAGGCGGCCTCCGTAGCTGGAAGATACAACAAATGGAGTCATATAATTTGGTTATAAGTGGCAAGATTGTAGAGTGATATAGCTTCAAAATGCTGTAAGTGTAGCAATAAATTGTAAGCAAAATCAGGTTACTCAGATTCCCATTCCGATTGGGGCCCTCCTGGTGGTATTCAATTCAATATTGAACTGAATAATAGAATTTGATTATGACTAGGTAACTAAAATCTAAAACAACTTTTATATTTCTAAATGGGAAACAAACTGGGCCTTTTTTTATATATATCAGTCGATCATTATTACTGTCTAGAATCAACTAGTACAATTTCAAACCCCTAACAAATAGACAATAAATCAAGTCTTGCCTAATTGATCCCTTGACGTCTTTGACGAGAATTGATCTACTAGGGATGGTAGTAATATGCCCACTTAAATTTGGGTGGGCTTAAGTGATGTAATCCGACTAATATTCACTACCCAGCCAAATGTGGCGTATTAGATTACATAATATATACCTAAGCAGAGAAAAATAAAGATAGAGGTAGGACTTGGAGTGACGACAAATGCTAATCCTCCTAAACAAAACATTACCAATCTATCTATCATCTATTACCATCAAATTAACGCGGACAATTATCTACCATCAAATTAGTTTCGAGAGTGTTTGGTACTGCTTTCTACCCTTTTCTTGAATTCTCTATATTAACATTGTTATTGAGGAGATATCTTAGAGGAATTAATGTATATTAGATATTTTCTTCCTCATTCCTATGACCGAAGTATATATATAGTGTGATGGTAAGAGTTTTGTCCCTAATTCCGCTATAGGCTCTCGACCTATTTGCTAGATACGACTAGAAAAAAGGAGCATGCTGTTGTGATGATNAGTGTGATGGTAAGAGTTTTGTCCCTAATTCCGCTATAGGCTCTCGACCTATTTGCCAGATACGACTAGAAAAAAGGAGCATGCTGTTGTGATGATTTTTTTCCCCTTAGTGTAGGTGGAGAAGTGAGAATAGATACAAATTTGTTACTCTTACTGGATTGATTTTGTTCCGATCACATTTTTAGTGGTTGATTTAGTGCTTGCTAAACATAGGCGTCTCTATCTATGATATCACGAAACTACCATGATTTCCATTGAGAGAGTGATTTCCATAGAGATTATATCACGTCATTTGGGATGGAAGATTTGATATTAATTTTTGGTAAGTATAGTGTTTAGTCTTCTATAGTATACATTCGCTTATGCTACGCACTCCACTTGGTTACACAATTTGCAACAATTATGACTCAATGTGAACTGAATTACATGCCCTGTGAACTCCATCATGGTGAAATGTGCAATGGTTATGATCCAGCGTGGATTGAGATATGATACCGAGTGGGTGTGTCACAGATATACGCTTTTATTGGGGTGTATCATATAATTTCCCATATTATGCAAACCACCAATTAATTGAACCTATAGAAATAGAGAAATGCAGAGTGAAAATCTGTATGCATATTGATACGAGAAGAATTACATTTATAGAGGAATTGCTACAATATGATAAAGTAAAGAATGGATTGAACCTATCTTATCAAATCTAATCTAATCTATTATCTGATACATATTGAACTATCTGATGTATTTGAATTTTGAATTGTAGCAATATCCTTGTAGTGACATTGGTTGGTACTAGACCATGATGGCATCACTGACGGTGTTGATGGAGCGCGAATTGAGAAGATGATGCTTGTCAGGTTGTGTAGGCGCAACTTCTGCACTAGTGGTGGTTCTGGTCGGCCATGGCTCTTTGTGGGGTTGGGTAATCCTGGAGATAAGTATAAGGGAACAAGACACAATGTAGGGTTTGATATGATTGATGCATTTGCTGAAGCTCAAGGGATTCCTATGGACTCAGTTCATTGCAAAGCTCTCTTTGGAAAAGGTTTTGTTGATGGCGTTCCTGTTTTCCTTGCAAAGCCCCAAACCTATATGAATCTGAGTGGCGAATCAAGTGGTCCACTTGCAGCTTATTATAAACTCCCTCTTAATCGTGTGGTTGTGTTTCATGATGACATGGGGTTACCATGTGGAGTGCTTCGCCTACACCATAATATAGGCCATGGAAGCCATAACGGGCTGAAGAGCGTGATTTATCATTTCCGTGGGAACAGAGAGTTTGCCCGGTTAAGAATTGGTATCGGGAGGCCTCCTGGTCAAATGGATCCCAAAGCATTCTTGCTCCAAAAATTCAATGCTACAGCTCGAGAACGGATTGATGGTGCATTACGAGAGGGGGTTGGTGTGTTGAAACAACTCATGTCCAAAGGCTTGACAGAGAGTGCACGATGCTTCAATACGGAGCAGAAGTATAAACATAAAAGATTGCAGACCATGCCCACATAAGAAAGCCACAAATCAATTAAGCGAGAGTATGTTCCCTTGTTTAACTGGTTTTTTTAATGAATGTTATTATCAGTAATGAAAAGTTGGTGATTATTGTTTAAAAAAAAAAATAAAAAAAAAATTGTAAGAATATCCTTAACACTCACCCGCTTCTTGTTATTATAGTTGTTAGCAATGCACGTTAACATATTTAAATATTATTATTATTTTTTATTTAGATTATATTTATAATTAAATTGAATAATAATTGTCAAATTATTATTTCTTATTCTAATTATTGTTAAACTTAATTATTGATCAATTTATCCATTTTTGATTACCTAATGTGTCATATTTTGAGGTATGTTCCCAGCTCCTTTGTACATCTTCTTTTTTTGTTTATAATGGAGTCTCATTGTAAGATTGTCATCCTTAAATATTTTCACATCTAATTATATTACAAATTTATTGCATTTTTTTATTGAATATATTTATTAGCTTGTAACACTATCATTTGTATTATCGTTTATGATATTCTTTAATACAAAAAAATCAGTTATGACATATGTTTGACCCCAAGAACCCAATCTAGTAGAATATAGTTAGTCTTTGAATGTAAAATGATTTTTTATTATTTAATAATTATATTAGATGCTCCCATAGTTGGATGTTGTATAGGTAGTGATGCTTTCCAAAGTGGATTTTGGGGCGTTGCACTTACATGTTGATGTTTTCAAGAGTAAGCTCAATCTATTTTTCTTATGCTCCAAGAATCTTCGAGACTTATTGGGGTTGAAAATAAGTGTAGGAACCCTAAAATATGTTCCCTAGGGTTTTTATTGTGTCAAAATATGAGAACATACTCAAAATAGGTCCGGACGAATAATTCATTGCCTTGTGTGTGTGGATGCGTATTTTTCCCCATTTGGATACGGGTGATTTTTTGCCTAAATGTTTAGCTTGATTTTAATCTATTTAGAAGTTGGTTTATAAATTTTTTATGAAATATACTTTTGTAGCTCTTGAAACCTGATTTCTAATGTCGTAAGAATCAATTCAATCGGACATTGGGATAAAAAAAGGTATAATCAAAATATTGAAGTAGAGTCAAATTCCTCTCACCTGAATTTTTTCCAAAAATACGTTTTAATTCTGGAATACTTTCAAACTTCTAGTACACTTCATATCACCTCTCTCAAGTTTAACCATCTTCGAAACAAAATTTGACCCGAAAGTTATTACTTAATATGTGCGAAATTAAAATTTTATGATCAATTTTTTAACAATGTTTTAAAGTTTATACAATCATTTTATTTGTCTTAGGAGGGCTCTTAACGTAATCTTATTCTTATTTAATTATAAGTATAATCCGCGGTCTGTGATTGTGTCCTGCTTTTAGTGATCCTTCTAACTAAAAACACGAATCAAGGGACAAATGATCGGGAGATCTTTTAATTATCTTCATTACTAGATCCGTTTCATTACTCTTTCTCTTCAATTTTCCTTAATGTAGTGCTAGATGAGTGACATGTATAAGATTTTGAATTTTAATGGACAAGATTTTTTCCTTGTGAGAAAATTTGGTTAACACTTCACTAACAACAAAATGAATGAAGAAATATCTTATCTATTGTAATTCAAAATGTTATATATGTTACTCATTTAACATTGTATTGAAGGGAATTGAAGAGAAAAGGTAATGGAGAGAATCCGAATCTCGCAGGGGTGTTGTCGACTGCGCAGTCGACGTTAAATTTAAACGCTGTTGTATCATTTTGCCGGCATTTATTTCCCCATCTCTGGCGTTTAACAAACACCGGGATTCCTGATTTTCTTGTAGTGCCAAAACCCAGGTTCCTAGAATAAAGAAAAAAATAAATTCTAATTATTCATCGAATTGTTTTTCAAATGTAACAACTTTTCGCTGAACTTGCGTGGAAAAGAAGTTTTGTTGCACTTACATGAAGTGTGAAAAATAAATTCATTTATTTTTTTCAGTTATCAAAATTGCTCTTTGAAAAGATTTGTGAAAATCCCAGGGGTAGTTTAGGTGTAATAGAGACGAGTTGTAAAATTAGATATTTCAATTTCAAATTTTGGCAATTCTCGGGTGGGATTAGGTTATGAGAGATTTATCTCTGATGAAAACATTTGGTAAATATGTTTTCCAAATGCGTTGGCATGCTTGCTATCATGGCAGGTCCCATGAATTGCTGTGGAGCCAAGCTTGAGAAATAATATACACCTAATGGGCAATCGAGCTCAAGCGTGTGTGATGGTAAGTTCGACTCAAGCCTAAGTACTTCGAAAGCCAAAACACTCCAAACCAAAGAGTTTGTTGCTTTTATGTTTTTTAGCAATGGAAAAATTTAATTTAATTTTTTGAAATATTTAATAAAATATATAAAAAATTTAATTATATAGTTACATTAGATATAATTCATATTTATCATACTTAAACTATTTATATTTTTTTTATAACAATAAACATCTAATAGACTCATTTTTTACAATTATTTTATTTGAGTTACCAAGCAATAAGGTTTATAGATTTTTCTTTTCTCAATTTTTTTTGCTTTTTGTCTTTCTTGTTTTTATTTTGTGTATCGGTAATTATTTACCCAATTATTTTGATTGTGAATGAAGAGATAAGATAATTATACCCGTTTTTGGGCATTACAGATGATATAGTATCAATGGAGTTATTAACGTGTATTAATATTGGGTTTTTAGAAAAAAAAGAATAATGTTGTTTTTATATATCATGTTAAGCATAACATGACCATTTAACAAGTTTAGTAAAGATAGCGAGATTTGTATGATACGTGAAAGATTAGTTTGAAATTTAAATACAAAGGGATAGAATGGTAATTTGTATATTTAAATACAAAAACACATATATTAGTCTTTATAGTTTTTTGTAAGTGCAAAATAATAATTTAAAAGTTTTTCATGTTAAGGTACTTTTATTAGTAATATGTATGTATATATATATATATATATATAATTTAAAAGTTTTGTAAAGATAGAGAGAATTGTTTGATATATTAGAGATTAGTTTGTTATTTAATACAAAAGGGTATAATGATAATTTGAATATTTAAACACAAAAAGGCATACTAGCCTTTCATGTTAAGGTAGTGTAGATATAGATAGGCAATAGGTTACTACAAACTTTTCATAATAGAGGACAAGATAATTTTTTGTTCCTTTGGTACATTGAAGAATATTATAACCATAGAATCATTAAGGACATAATGAAATAATAGAGAAATTCCAATTTTTGTCACACCCATATGCCTAGAAATAATTTAGTTTACAGCCCTACAGTTCTTCCTAATCTCACCCCGAGTACCTGTGAGAACATCAATAGAACCCATACGGACCATTGCAGCTGCAAACTCTTTAGCCCAAGTTGTACCAAGTTTTGCATTTCTCCACACCATCCCAGCCGTTGAAGGGCTACTCAATAGCGTTTGATCCGATATTAACAAGCCACGATGGTTCGTCAAAGCTACATAGTACTTGTTATCCAATCTATTTGGTGTAACTGGATCAAGAGGCACAGTGGTACCACTTGATGCTCCATTTCTTGGACACTTGGCCTTTAAGTCCTCAGCAAACTTGGGATCCATTGAAGGGTCCTGCGAATGAGTCGAATTAAAGGAATACAATCGATTCGAGAAAGTAGCACAGTTTGCGATTCCAATAGAATGTGCCCCAGAGAGAGTGACCATTTCGTCAAGAGTTAGTCCCTTCCTTGCAAAGTTTTGTTCAAGCTGTGTGGCATTGAGAAAAGGAGATGGGATGTTTTGAAAAACCTCATCTATTAGGGAAACTCTTCCATCACGCCGTCCAGCAGGGACAGAGTAGTTGATTCCTCCCACTTTTAAGGCGCTATCGCGAGCAGCGAATGCAAGGATGTCCGAGCACGAAACAGTTTGAGGGCATAGAGCTTCAAGCTTAGCCTTAGCCTTGTCGATTACTTCAAAGCCTCGCAAGCCTGGATTGTTGACTGGATTTTCCTTCTCTGAGGGCTTACCAGGTGTTGAATCAAGTAAGATTGAAGCATCACAACCCTGAAAGCAAAGGCAACGTTGTTAGTTCCATCACCTTTATGCATAAAAAAACACAAATGAAACAATGAAAGTACATAGAAAGGGTAAAACATAATTTTACCCCCTTGAACTATTATCTTTGTTTTAATTTGCACTCTCAACTATAAAATTTATCACATTACACCTTAAAGTATTAATTTTATTCCATAACCTTAGCCTCGTATCTGGAGAGTCTCGTGTGGTGAGTCAAATACAATGGATCAATCTTAATGCTGGCCCTAAAAGATGTAAGGCCTTGTTTAGTTTATGTTTCTAAAAATAGTATCCGAAAATTATTTCCAAAAAAAGTTTTAGAAAAGTGTATTTCGATTTTTGTGTTGCAGAACTTATTTAATTATATGATTCTGAAAACAGTTATACGAAATGTAAATTAGTAAAACTTGTTTAGACAGTGACCCAAAAAACAAGGAAAACAAAAATGTGGTGGTGGTGGGTGTTTTTCAAATTCTTGAAAGATTGTTTCTAAAAATACAAAACAATTCTAACTTGTTCTCTAAATTTACCCATTTTTTGTTTTCAGTTTTTTTAAAAAAAAAAAAGCTGGTCAAACTACTTTTTTCTTTGAAACTGTTTTTGAAAATAGAAAAAATAATTTTTGAGATGCAAACCAAGTTAGACGTAATTTTCTAAGTTAATTCCCCGACAAATTAGAGTGTCAAAAGACATTGAGCATACCCTAATGAAGCAGTCATGGAAATGCATTCTAATGAGTCCTGCAGCTATGCCAGGATTCTGCGACACGGCTTTGTTCACAGCTTTCCTAACGACTGTCTCTGCAGAGGGACAACTTGATTTGTAGAAACCGATCGTAAGGGAAGCCATTGAAAGGGTGAAGAACGTCGATACAGTTAGACAAAAAATAAAGCAGAAGACTGAGGTTGATAGTTGAACTCTACTCATTTTTGGAAAGAGAAAAAACAAGGCAAAAAGAGAGTCTTCTGCTATAGGGAAGGAATGATGGAGATGAAGAGAAGTTGAGATCAGAAGAGAGTATGTATAGATGTGGAGGTGTGAGACAGAGCCCTTTTGGTTTTAAGATTTTATAAAACAAAAAGGTTTTTACTTGCAATCAGGACAGTTTGAAGGTGTCATGTTTGAACAGTTCAATGATTAATTAATTAGTTTATTTTTGTCCCTTTATGACCTCAATTTTGTCATTCCAATTTAAGTTTCAGATTCTGAGTGAGCTTCATGTTTACAACTTTTAGCGTTGTGAACTGGAATTGAAGAGGAAAGCCTCACAAAAAAAGAATATAGGAACAGGTCCATGCTTGCATGCATGCATTATAATATTAATTGCAGGCTCTTCACTAAGTTTTTTTTTCTTCCCAAAATTTTCTCTCAGGGGTTGTCATAAGAGAGATTAGTGAGATTGGTTTATGCGGTCTTGTAAAAGGGCGTAATTAGTGTACGAGATTTTCGTTGTTACGAGGTTTAAGAAGGGTCAGATGTACGTAACTTTATCCCTGCAAGTAAAAAAACTGTTTTTGTAATTTGAATCCGTGATCTTCAAGTCACAATTAAACAATTTTACCATTGTACTAAAGTCCACTCTTATTTACGTGGTCTTGACAATACAAAAATTAGCTGGAACCAAAGATAAATCAAATTGTAGCCGAAGAACGTCCATGAAATTAGCTCTACACCTTTTGTATCTTAGTGATTGAGTGAACCTTTCTGTTAGCACTGCTGGCTGCGACTGCTTCAACAAAGAAGTGTTTTTGTGCGTTTTGTGTTCGTCTCTCTCTCTCTCTCTTATTTGTTGTTTCTTTTTTGGTTGGGGAGGATACATCTGTCTTTAATCCACCCTAAAAGCCATTAAAAAGATCCGAGTTTAAGTTCAAGAGATGGTAGAACATTGTGCCATGAACCCCTTTATAGAGAAGAGTAATGTTATTGTGATTTTAATATTTGACTTAATTTGCAGATCTAATAATGCAGTTTCATTGTAACCGTTAGATTAATACCAATTTCTAATATTTAATGGAGTCCATAGTTAATCAAAAGACTATAATACCCATCATTTATTTCATACCGTGCAAACCACGTATATATGTACTAGGGCCACATTGCTACAAGGCAAAGTCCATATGTATATAGAGTAATGTTATACATACAATTTGGTGACCTAACATACGGACTTAACTCATTGCGGTCGCTAAATTTTATTTTAGTTTAAATATTTATTGGGGCCCACTTCAATCCAACTATAGTCGTAATTAATTAAGCCCCCAAATACATCCTTAAATTAGATACATAACAAATTATTTATGTATATAATCCCAAACAAGTCATGTACATTGGAAAAGCTAGAACTCTCTTTTAAATCTTATCATAATGCAATTGCATTATAGTAATTGTACCTATAGGACTTCTTTAGTGGGACTATATCATAGCACATGGTTAGAGTAGCAAAGTTCAATGGATATAACGGACACATGTATATTTCCTCAATTACTTTATTCCTCTAGTTTTCATGTTGGAAAATCAGTTTCTTTGCGCAAAGTTTCTTACTTTGCACTTTAAAAGATTAAATTTTTTATATTACACCGTCAATGTATCAAAAGTAATATAATGTGACCCTTCTGTTAGCTTATGTTATTTTTTTTTTTCGTCAAAAATCAACCTATTACCATTAATGAAAAACTAAGGAGAAGTTAATAGAATGGTCACATTACAATACTTTTGATAAATTAAAAGTACAAAGTGAAAAATTTAATCTTTAAGGGTGCAAAGTAAGAAACTTAAAATCTTTAAGAGTATAAAATGCAATTCAACCTATTATGTTTGTTCGTTATATTAGTGTTCATGTGTCAAAAAAGCATCTAAGCTGTTCCATTAAGTCAAAAGAGCATCTAAGTTGTTCCATTAAGTAAAAAAAGCATCTAAGTTGTTCAGGTGTGTATTTATTGATTGAAGATTTGAAGCTTACTGAAAACTAGATATGGAACAAGCGGAGTAGACTACAATACAGACATGGAGTTTTTCGGGACCATATCGAAATTCAATAGGGACCTTTGATGAGCTTGTCTCAACAAAGGAGGCAAGGTTACTACCAATTAGAGTGAAGTTATCACTATTGTGGACTAAATTATCACATTTAAGATCTAATTATGAAAATTGTAAATAAATTTGTAATAGAAATGGGTTAAGTTACAATCACTGTAGATAAATTTGCAATAACTTTGATAATTTTACAACAGTTAAGAGTATATATATACTACAGTGGAGATGAATTTCCAACAAATGGAGTTGGGTAAGGTTAGTTACCACATTTAAAGGTTACATTACAAAGATTGTGGGTAAATTTACGATAGAAATAGATTAAGGACAATCATTGTGGACGAATTTACAATTATTTTGGTCAAATTATAACAATTAGGTGTACATTTGTTACAGTTTAAGATTAAATTACACAATAATAGTGGACAAAGTTATAAGAGTATTGGCCAAATTTACTCTTATATTGATTAAAATTACGGCATATGTGAGTAATATTATAAACTTAAAAGTAAATGTATATCAACTGTGATATTCTTAACTAAAATGTGGTAAATTCGCCATAAACACAAATTATGTCACCAAAAATCATCATAATATTGCAATAAAAGTGCAAACATTGTCCTTAACACGATAACATTACCTTCAAACATGATATCCCAAATTAACATTCAAATTCATCAAATTAACGTATAATTAATCAAATTAACATTGAATTTATTCAAGTAACATTAAAATTTATTAAATTAATATTCAATTGCATCCAATTAAAATTTCATTCATTCAATTAATATTCAAATTCATCCAAATAACATTCAATTTCTCAAATCAACATCCAAAATCATCCAATAAACGTTTAATTCATCAAATTAAACACTAAAGTATCATACAATTTTATCCAATTAATACTCAATTCACCAAATTAACATTAAATTAACATCCAAATTCATCTAATTGGCATTCAATTCACCCAATTAATATCCAATTTTATTCAATTAACATTCAATTTATCAAATTAAAAAGAACTTAATATTCAATTAATTAAGTTAACATAAAAGTAACATTCAATTCAATAAATTAACATTCAAATTCAACTGCTTAATATTAAATTTATCAAATTAACATCCAAATTAACATTTAGTTTCATCAAATTAATAATCAATTTATTAAATTAACATTCAATTCATCCAATTTATATTGAATTTCCTTTAATTAACAATCAACTCATCAAATTAACATAAAAAACCTTCCAATAAATATTTAATACATCAAATTAACACTAAACTAACATTTAATTTTATCCAATTAACATTCAATTCATCAAATTGACATCAAATTTAAATCTAAATTAATTCAATTAGAATTCAGTTCATCCAATTAATATTCAATTTTATCTAATTAATATTCAATTTATCAAACCAAAAATAAAATAACATTCAAATTCTTCAAATTAATTTTCAATTTTATTCAGTTAATATTCAATACATCATATTAACACAAAATTGACCTTCAATTCATCAAATTGACATTAAAATTCAAATAGTTGACATTGAATTCATCAAATTAATATCAATATTAACATTTCAGATTCGAGCTAATTAAATTTTATTTTTTTCTATATATATAAATTCAAGCCAATTAAATGTTTTTTACCTATTAAAATTCGAGTTGATTTCAGCTTAACCTGATCTACTAGCGCCTAGCACTGATTAAAGTTCGATTCGAGCCGATTGAAATTTATATTTTATTACTTCTTAAAATTCATGCTAATTAAAATTCGATTCAAGTTGATTAAAATTTATTTTTTACATATTAAAATTTGAGTCGATTAAATTTATTTTTTTTATATATCAAAATTTAGGCCGATTAAAATTCAATGCGAGTTTTTAATTGACACGAATTTTAATAAGGAAAAAAATATAAATTTCAATCGAATCGAATCAAATTTTAATATTTAGTTTCATCTAATTAGAATTCAATATAATCGAATTTCAATGTTAATTTGATAAAATTGACAGTCATTAAATTCATGAATTTTAATGTTTATTTAATAAAATGGGCTGTCAATTTTGTGTTAATTTTATGAATTTAAATTTTAATAAATAAAATTAAAGGTGATTTTTTTATTAATTTGGAGAAAGTGAATTTTGGGATCTATCCAAATTATTCATTTTTTTTGGAAAATATCAAAATTATTATTATTTTTTGGAATATATTGAAATTATCATTTAGAATATTTCAATTTTTTTTTTATCTTCAAATATTTGCGATCTATCTCAAGAGCTTGAGATTTATTGAAAGGTTGTAATAGTCTCCCCCAAAAATGTATTGAAAAACGGTAAGTTCATGATTGCCCACAAATGTCTATGATTGATCACAAGTTCACTAGAGTGAGATCTAGCAAAATTGTAGACAATTTACCACAATTAAAGACAAATTTGTCATCTTTGTGGGCCAATTTACAACAATTGTGGATAAATTAAATTGTAGCCAAAGAACATTCATGAAATTAGCTCTACACCTTTTGTATCTTAGTGATTGAGATAACCTTTCTGTTAGCATTGCCGGCAGCGACTGTTTCAACAACGAAGTGTTTTTGTGCATTTTGTGTTCGTCTCTCTCTCTCTCTCTCTCGTCTTTTTGGGTTGGGGAGGATTCATTTGTCTTTAATCCGATAAGCCATTAAAAAGATCCCAGTTTCAGTTCAAGAGATGGTGGAACATTGTGCCATGAACCCTATTATTGTGCCATGAACCCTGTTGTTAGTTTAAATTTTAGATGGAGCTCACTTCAATCCATCAATAGCCGTAATTAATTAAGCT